CAATTTGCATGTGAAATATTTTACCATCCCTTTATCTTTAGAACTACCTATATAGACTTTCTCATAGACATTGAGTAATTTTTTAAATCCACTCTGACAATCCCTACCATTTAATTGGTGTACTTTCCATTTACATTTTGGGCCCAGAAGAGTTAACACAGCAGGCCCCAGCTGCTACCCTTAGGAAGGCCTGCTTGCAAGGCTGCCCTTGGCTGGAGTCTGGGAACTTGCCTGGTAAACAGTTGCTATGCTCACATAAAACTTGCCCAAGCAATTAGTGGCTCACGGTGCCTGAACAAACGACGTGGTATATGCTGAATACCAGCTTTCTTTTTGGGGATCTGGGATTTCAGTTAACTGCCATCAGTCAGACAGACACTGTGGCTCTGTGACTAACCTCTAAGAAAAACCCTGGCCTCATGGCCTCTGATGAGCTTCCCTGGTAGACAACACTTCACACAAGCTTTTGCAACTTGTTGCTGTGTGGCTCCACTGAGAAGACTCTGGGAAGTTCACACTTCACACCATACACCTTTTCCCTCTGCTGCTTCTGCTTTGCTTTAATAAATCATGGCCAAAGTACAACTTATCTTGAGTCCTGTAAGTCTTACTACAAAAAATAATCTGATAACAAAAATTTTAGTTATATTTTTCACTTCGCAAAACACACCTAAAATGAAGTAAAGGTAAAAAAGAGGGCTTTAAATTAAGGCTTCACAATTTCACATAATCACAAAAAGCAAAACTCCACAGAATTAGCATTATTTCAATTTTCAGATTTACTGTTTTAAAATCTTAACCTACCTTAACAAATTAATAAAAAACTAAAAACCATTTTAAAAAGATTATGGATGACACCTTTACATTTTTCAAAAGTATGTCTCTCAAATGTGCTTATTGCAATATGCTATTAAAGTCGTACTTCACATAATTAAAACTACTTTAGTACACATATATAACTGCTGAGGTACTCTACAATATAAATTGAAATAAGCTCAAAATGCAAGAGGCGTTTTGAAGCATTACAAAATACTGAAAAGGAATTTCTAAAATACTGATTTCACAAGGTCATGGTGCAAATTGATTACACAAGCTTCTGCTTCTGTAAAAACAGCTGTTCATTGTTCCTGGGTTCCCTACACAAGGCTAATGGCAATCAGTGGAGTTTTCCTATAAAACTAGTTGTATCAACTTGAGCTGTCTTGACTAATACTGTATGTGCCACTCAGTTTCACTACCCATTGGCTTTGGTTCTGTGGGCTTGAGGGCTTCCATATATTTGTATTCCATGGTTTCTCTGTCTTTTTTCAGGGCCATTGGATATAATCTGATCAGAGCTCACAAAAGATGAAAGGAAAGCCTGATGCCCCATCTTCAGTTTTGGAAATTCTGCCCATTTCAGCAGACAGCACAAGGGCAAGTGGGGCTGCAGATCTTCCACTGCCTTCAGGACCACACATCAGGGACACCGGACAGGGCAGGCATCAGACTAGCTTGGGGGCACCTTTTTGCGGCTGAAAACAAAATCATGTAGTTTTTCACTTAATATGTAATAAACATTTTCCCCCCATTTTAGTGATGAACAAGGTAAGGATGAGTGAAATTAAATAAAGGGGTTTAAGAATACCAAATGTTTAAGAGTTCAGATTTAATCCCAAATCTGATTCCAAAGCTTGTACAGATACTCCCAACCCACCTATAAGCACTACCTAATATTAAGAGTACAGGTGAACTGAATCAAAATGGCACTCAGAGCATATGTTACAGTAGACCCTCTAACAAGAACAAAAAGACAAGAGATTTAAAAAATGTTAAGTGGGTATCATTGCTGGAAAATAAGGGTTATCCTCAGAGGATGTGGGATTTTGATGAATTCCCGGAATATCGAGTGAGAGTTGGATCTAGTTCAGAACCTAGAGATGACAGCTTGAAAGATGCAAGAAGCTCCAGGGATAATCCGAATTCTTCGGTTCCCTCCTCCTCCTGCCCAGAAGGCTGAAAGCAGCTGCGGGTCCACTTCCAAGATGGCACAGTGAGCACAAGTGAGGCAGTAAAGTGCCCTCAATGTCTAGCAGCAGCCAAGATACCTGGGAATCTCACATGGTTACTGTTTCCTGGAACCACAACCCACACCACATCCCATCCCACTACCAATAAAGCGTATGGGTAAAAGTTCAGGCCAGCCAGGGACTCTCATACAGCTGAGGGAATCCATTACCAAACTGAAAGGACAAAAGCTAACACTGAAGAAAACTAAATACAGCAAAGAGATTTGAAAGAAGTATGCCTAATACAGTTGATCCTTGAACAATGGAGGGGTTAGGAGTGCCAAACCCCTGTGCAGTTGAAAATCTGCATGTAACTTTTGATTCCCCAAAAACAACTACAAATAGCCTATTGTAGGCTGAGAGCCTTACTGACAACATGAATAGTTGATTAACACATACTATGTCTATTACATACTGCATTCTTACAATAAAGCTGAAGATAAGGCCATTAAAATCATAAGGAACATACCATACTGTATGTACTGTTTACAAGATGAATGTCAGTACCTACATCAATATTGCCCTATGATACAAAACACTGTAGATGTTATATGTGTTCCTAAAACTAGATATCAGAAATGAAAAGATGTTAAAGGAGTTGACATTTACTTACAGGTACAGAGATTCATGCACTGATAATGAACAGCAGTATGACTGCTTATGGTAGCCTAATGTGATCATATGATTGCTTCACGGCAGCCTAGCCTATATGGTAATATGATTCTTCAAAAACAAAGTTATAAACATTCAGACTCTAACAGATTATTAATATTATATTAAATGTCACTCACATTATGCCTTTGGAAGGATGGACTACCCACTTCCACACAGTGTTCTACATGAGGAATACTTAGGCAGTGATATCACAAAAAGTCTCAGTTTTTGCTGTAGTTATTAGATTTTTCACACAAACACTCATACACAATAAAAAAAGTTTGCTAACTGTACGGCACGATGATTATTTGCTACTAAGTGAAGTGGATCATAATAAAGGTCCTCATCCTCATCATCTTCACATTAAGTAGACTGAGGATGAGGACAGGAGGGGTTGGTCTTGCTGTCTCGGGGGCAGAGGTGCAAGTGGAAGGCGAAGCAGCAGAGGCAAGCACACGTGGTACAACTTTACAGAAATACATAATTTCTGCCTGACATTTTTGCTTTTTCATTTCTCTAAAAAAGATTTCTATATGGTACCAAGCCTTTTTCCATGCTTGCTTTAGTTTCACTGCCCAATCATAAAAGGGTCCATGTTGTAAATGAAATCAAAAGCAGTCTTGAATAATCGGAACCCTTCCAGATTGTCTAGTGTCAGTGTGTTTTCTGGCATTGCTTCTTCTGTCCTCCTCAGTGTCTGCCCCTGGTTCAGGAGCACTCATCTCCAACAGTGGTCTTCTGCTAATTCCTCTGGTATGGTGTCATCTGCAAGTTTTTTCAAACTGCCACAAACCCCAAAAAAATTTTAGAACATATTTATTGAAAAAGATCAGCATGTAAGTGGACCTGAGCAGTCCAAACCTGGTGTTAAGGGCCAACTGTATGTTCAGAGATGTTTGAAAGATTAAGACGCCTATTAAAGAAAAAGTATCTTTTATGAGAAAGAACAAATAGCAGTCTTGGGTACTCAAAGGCATGTCAAATCTGAAAAAAGAAAGCTCACAATACTAAGGAAATAGCAGAATAGAGCAAGATTTGTAGAGTGAACTGGAAGATCCAGTCAATGATCTCAAGTTCAGTGCAAAGGAAAAGAGTGCGATCTTGAGTTCCAACGGACCTAGCTCCATTGTCTAACAGCCAGCTACTAAATGACCCAGGATACACAAGAGAATAAATCTGGGGTAATACTCTAAGAATAGTAATACTGCAAACTAAAGAAACATAGGAGTCTATACAGTATATGTACAATTGCTCTAAAGAACTGAAAAAGTACAACTCAGCCAGCAAACAGAAGATTTAAAGAACCAAGCAGAAATTCTAGAACTGAAAACACAACTACTCAAATAAAAAACTCAAAAGATGGGCTCAAAGCAAAATGGAGCTAACAGAGGGAGGGAAAATCAGTGAGCCCAAATACAGAACTACAGAAAATACTCAATCTGAAAGAGAAAAAAGATAGCAGCAAAAAATGAACAGAGCCTCAGAAACCTACGTGACTATAACAAAAGACCTAACATTCATGTCATGGGGGTCCCATAAGGTAAGGAGAAACAGTGTAGGACTGAGAAGTATCTGATGAAATAACTGAAAATACTCCAATTTTGGCAAAATGACCTTAAAGGGTAATATGGGAAAGCTATAAAGAACTCCACACATTGATTTTACTCATTTGTGGAGTATAACAACACAGCAAAACTGAAGGAACAAAACAGCAGCAGACTCACAGATCTAGAAGGGACTAGCAGTTACCAAAGGGAAAGGCAGTGGGGAGGGAGGGAGAAGGGGATTAAGGAATATTATGATTAGCACACATAATGTAGTGAGGGCACAGGGAAGACAGTATAGCACAGAGAAGACAAGTAGTAACTCTAGCATCTTACTATGTTTGTGGACAGTGACTGCAATGGGGTGTGTGTAGGGGACTTGATAATATGGTTGACTGTAGTAACCACAATGTTGCTCATGTTAAACTTTCATTAGATTGTATATTGATACCTTAATAAAACAATTTTTTTCAAAAGGTCAGCTATGGGCTATTTGCAATTTCAAAAAAAAAAGAACTCCATGCACATACATTTGGCAACTTGGATGAGATGTACCAATGCCTCAAAAAGCTACTATTGCAGCTCACCCAAAATGAAGCAGGTACTTTAAATAGCCCTATAATTATTGAAGAAACTGAATTTGTAATTTAAAAACTCCCTTCAAGACCTCCAGATTCACCGAAAAGCTGTAAAAGATATTTAAAGAATTCAAACCAGCTCTAAACAATCACTTTCAGAAAATGGAAGAAAAGGAAACATTTCCCCAACTCATTTAATGAGGTCAGTATTATATACCCTGATACCAAACCCAGACATGAAAAAAAAGAAAACTAGACCAATATCCCTCATAAATATAGATGGTAGCTCCTTTACAAAAACATTAGCAAATAGAATTCAGTGCTATAGAAAAATAAGTATATACCAAGACCAAGCAGAGTTTGGAATGTGCAAGTTTGGTTCAATATTTGAAAATAAATGTAATGTGGCTTATCAACAGACTAAAGAGGAAATAGCATATGATCATACGAACTGACACAGAAAAAGCATTTAAATGCAAAATCCCATTCCCGATAACAACTCTCAGCAAGTTAGAAATAGAGCGGAACCACCTCAATTTAATAAAGAACATTTACAAAAATTGCAGCTGACACACTTTATGGTGAAAAACTGCATGCCTCTCCCCAAGATTGGGAACAAGGCTAGGATGTTTATTTCACTGCTCTAATTCAACATCATACTGTAATTCCCACTCAGAAAAATAAGAAAAGGAAATATAACAGGCACAGAGATTAGAAGAGAAGAAGTACAACTACTCCTATTCACAGACAGCATGATGTGCTACATAGAAAAACCCTAGGAAATGTAATATTCCTAGAACTAGTAAGTTAAGCACAGTTGTAGACTACAAAATTAACATACAAAAATCAATTGTATTTTTATATACTAGCAACAAAAGATGTAGAAATCTAAATTAAAAATACATTATCACTTATGAATTCAAAAAAACTATCATTACTAAGATATATAACAAATCTAACAAAATATACTTGGGACTTGTATGATAAAAATATAAAAGTTATGGAAGAAATCCAAGATTGAAGTAAATGAACAGACATACTGTATTCACAGACTGGAAGACACAACATAGTAAAAACAGATGTTAACACTCCCCCAAAAAGACAGGTTTAACACATTTCGTATCAAAATCGCAGCAATATTTTTATAGTTATAGGCAAAATTACTCTAAAATGTATACAGAAAGGCAAAGGAAGTAGAATACAATTTTGAAAAAGGTGAATAAAGCTGAACTCAGAAATTAGCATAAAGTTACAATGAAGGCAGTGCAGTATTGCTAAAAGCTTACACATATAAATTAATGGAACAAAGTAAAGAGTCCAGATCTAGTCCACACAAATATGGCCATTTGATTTCTTACAATGGAGCAAAGGCAATTCAATGGAGAAAGTAGTCTTTCTAACAAATGGTACTGGGATAACTGTTACCCATCTGGAGAAAAAAAAAAGAGACCCTTAATCTAAACTTCACCTCATTAAAAAACAAAAACAAAAAAACTCAAAATGAAGTTTACATTTATATGTAAAAGGGTAAAATGTTTAAAAGAAATTTTATGTGAAAAATCTTCAAGACCTAGTGTTACACAGAGTTCTTAGATATAACACCTAAAGGAAAAAAGGTGACAAACCTGACTTCATCATAATTTAACTCTTTTGCTCTCCAACACTGTTTAATAAAATAAACTACAAACTGGAACAAATTTTGCAAAAAACCCATCTGGACCTCTATTTAGAATGTACAAAGAACTGTCAAAACTCAACAGGAAGGAAAACAAAAACAAAACCCAATTTATAAAAATGGAGAAGACCTTTGACCAGATAATTTACAAAAGGGATGCAGGGATGACAAACAAGCTCGCGAAGAGATAATCAACATTATTAGCCATTAGAGTAATGCAAACTGAAGTCATGAAAAAATATGGCTACATACCCCTATAGAAAGGCTAAAAATTTAAATTTTTTAAAATTAACAGTATCAAGTCCCAGTGAAGATGTGTAACTGGAATTCTCATACATTATCAATGGGAATGAAAAATGGTAGACACTCTGGAAAATTTGGTAATTTTTTTTATAAATATTTACTCACTATATAATTTAGCAATCCCACTGGGGTTAGGGAAGTAAACTAGTGTAACTGTTTTAGACAATATCCTTATGATATTAAGTTGAATGTGGGCAAACCCTATGACCAAGGAATTTCATTGCAGGTATTAAGTCTGGCATACATACCCCAGAACATATGCGCTGGTTCAAAGCACTGTTTATAATATCCCAAACTGTAAACAACCTAATGCCTCAATAGAACAGTAGAGAAATAAGTTGTTGCTGGTTTATTGAGAAGCCTGATGATAGCCTGATGAGGTTTCCTGTATAAGTAATCTTTTTTCTCTTTATGGCTACTTCCAGTACTCGCTCCTTGTCCTTGATCTTTACCATTTTAATTATTCTGTCTTGGTGTTCCTTTTGTAAGGGGCTCTCTGCACTTCCATAATCTGAGTGTCTATTTCCTTCCCCAGATTGAGGAAGTTTTCAACAATTATTTCCTCAGACACTTTCTATCCCTTTGTTTCCCTCTTCTCCTTCTGGTGCCCTTGCAAATATTGTTCTGTTTAGATTGGTCACACAGCTCTCTTATTATTCTTTCATTCCTAGAGATCCTTTTTTCTCTGTTTTCCAGTTCCAGCTTCACTGTTTTCTTGCTCCAATTTCCAAATCATTTACAACTTCTTCAACCTGTGAAAGTCTATTAAATCCCTCCACTGTATGTTTCATTTCAGATTCTGTATTCTTCAGCTCTGAGTGGCTCTTCTGCTGGTCTTCTATCTTTTTGTTGAGGTCCTCCCTGAAATTGAGTATTTTTCTGTAGATCCATGAATATGTTTATGATTTTCACTTTGAAGGCTTTATCATAGAGATTGCTGATGTCAGTTTCATTCAGTCCTCTTTCTGGTGTTTTGTCTTGTAGTTTTGTTTGGAAGATATTTCTCTGCCTCTTCATTTTTTCAGTTTCCTATGGAGTAATAGCTTTATGAAGGAGGCACCCTCTAGTGTCCAGAAGCTCAAAACACTGTACTTTCCAGTACAGTAACCCCAGCTGTTAGTGTGCAGTAGGTGGGGTGCCTTTCTGCCTGGCTTGTAGTGATCTGATTTCAGGCACACTGTTTGCTTTGCCATGCCTTCTCTGATGGAGCTGCTGTGGGAAGGGCTGCTCTCTACCTGGGTTACAAGCAGTGGCAAGGGATCAGGCGCCCCCAGAGAGGAAGAGTTTCCAGGGCTGGCTGCTGCAGGCAGTTCCCTGGCTGGGCCTAATTAGGGTTGAGAAAGCTGGGAGAGTCTCCCTCTGCCTACCCTGCAGCAAAGTCTGACACCACTACTGGGCCAAGTAGGCTGTCCACAGGCCATGCACCGCAGGAAGGAGCCTTGGGGCTGTGTAGCCAGGTGGAGTTGGGAGGATGGGGAATGGAGAATGTGGAGCTCCCGAGAGTTCCCAATTTGTTGGGTTGAGGACAGGCTGGGGAGGTATTGTCCATCTGCCCTTTCTCCTGAGCAGAGAGCTCCCTATAACCCTTGCTCCTCTGGTGCCCCTCCCACTGCTGAGAGGTCTTGCAAACTGCCCACTTTGCTTTTGTCTCAGGGGGACAGGAATAGCATGCCTGCTCTCCACAAGTGGCTGGAATCTCAGCCTCCCTGAGTGTTCTACCTGTCTTTGTTGTCCAGCCCTGCTAATCACCACCATGTATTCTGGGTTCATGCTGCTGGAGCAGATCTCCAGGGCCAGGTATTCAGTGATCCTGGGCTCCTACTCCCTCCCTGCTCCATTCCTCTTCCTCCTGCCTGTGAGCTGCAATGGAGAGAGTGTTTCAGTCCCACCAGATCTCGGCTTTGCCACTTAACCCTTTTCTATGAGGTTTTCTCTTCTTCCCTAGATGTAGGTAGTCAGTTCTGCAGTCTTCAGGTCATTTTCAGGTTTAGTTGTATTTGCTGTAGTTTTGTGTTTTGGGAGGACGTTTCTGCCTTGCCTTCTTAGCCATCTTTTTCCTAGAATATGCTTGTTTATCAAATGGAATACTATAAAATAGCAAAAAATACTTTAGCTTTATGCTTGGTCTTGAAATAATCCTGTGAAGACAACAGACAAGGTTGATTAACAAAAAAAGTATTAAAGAAAACAGAATAGAAAACAACTTATATATAATAGAATCCAAGGACATGCAAAGCTATTCCATAGATTTTTTTATGGGATACAATTTTAGTAAAATTATTTTTAAAAGAACTAACTGACAAGTGTAAAATTCAAGACAGTGATGGGGAAGGAAGCTGTGACAACTGGAACTAAACAAAGGATCATAAGGTAGAGTTCTATTAAGATTTGTAGTGGATACACAGATCTTGGATTGAGTAACATTCTTTACATGTTCAAGATGTATTTTACAACATGTCTCATATGTCATATTTCTTGTTTTTAAAATGGGAAAAAAATAACTACACACAAAAAATCTTAGAAAACACAGGACCTAAGACAAAGCCCTAGACCCAACTCCTACAATCTGCTAAGTTCAGGCTTCTTCGAGAGGGGCTGTCATAAAGGAATCAGTGCAAAATGCAGTCAAGGTTATGACTACAAAAGGGAAAGAAAAACAAAGCTGACTACATATGCAGCAGCAAAGTGAGATCAGAAGGCAAAGGAAATCAATGAGGAAATACTTCACACAGAAGTATTCAAATTTTGTTGAAACTGTGAAGAACAGAGATATGCAGGCACAAGAACGAAGAAATAAAACTTCTGGAGAAGAAAAGTTCAGAAACGGAAAATAGGGAGAAAAGTTTTTGAGTACTAAAGCTTTCTACATGTTTGACTCTTTGTCTTAATAAAGAGAAATAAAAAGAGCCTTTTTCCCACATCACAATATGCTTGGTGTCCCTGAAGGTTGGCACGGATGTCCCATACCTCCAGGTCCTGAGATGTCCACCCGTCCAGGCCTCCCCACACCCCTGCCCTAAGAATGGATTCCTCAAACTCGGCCCTTTCCGACTCCCCATGCCTCTGTCTCTCTAGATGGGCTTGGAGACCCCCGCGGCTTCCTCAATCACCTTGGCCACCTCTGCATCGACCCTCCTCTTCCCCCCATCCCAAACCTGGGCCCCTAGGTCTCCATCCGCAGGGGCCCCAGGCCCGGTCTGTCCCGTCCGGCAGGCAGCACTCCGCCGCGGACCCGCAGCCCTTGCCGCCCCTCACCTAGGGCTCCGTCTCCACGCTCCCGCTCTTCATATCCGGCACGGTCCCTCCGAACACCTAGAAGAGGGTGGAACTTGGGGGCACCTGGCAGTTGTAGCGGAGGCAGTAGAGGCTTGTTTATCCTCACCATGGAAACGCCGGCTTCCGAAGGGCCGGTTAAGGAGCCAGAACTCCAAAGTACACAACTCCCGCCCGTTATGCTCACGCGGCGCTCCCGAGAGCCCTGCTGCTCTCGGCTTGCATGGCCTTGCGCCCCAGCACCGACAAGAAACAGCCCGGGAGTCCATGCCCCCGATCCGCTGCCCGCTGCGGGCGTGACCGCGAGGAGCCTTCCCTGCCAAACCCTACCTCTTTCTCCAGGAAGACGTGGCGCAGCACCGCCTCCACACGGAGCCGGAAGCGCGCAAACGCCACTGCGGGGAGGGGCCACAGGGTAACCTTTGCGTCGCGCAGGAAGCGGAGCCAGGGATTGGTCGGCGGGGCGCGGGGCGGGGCGGGACTGGCGGAGGGGGCGGGGCGCTCAGGGGCTGAAGGCTGTGCGCGGGCTTTCTCGGGGAGGCGGGGGTGGGGTGGAGCTCGGAGTTGAAGTCTAGGCGGGGTAGCAGAGACGGTCATTTCCTGCCAAGGGAGAGGCTCGAGGACGCCAGAGACGGATGAGGGCGGTGCCGAGCGCAGGGCTGGGGGAAGGGGTGCCCGCGGCGCTCCAGCTCTTGGGTCGGAACTTCGAGCCCAGAAGTCGCTTCACCTAAGAACCGGTGCTTTTGGCGAGCAGCGCTGGGTGGGGAGTGTCACCACCGAATCCCTCACTGCTGGAGGAGCACTTGCCAGTTGAATCTCACTTGAGCCCCCGCCTCCCACGCCAGCGGTGATTTTGCTCTGAACCAGGTTGTGGGTAAAATTGAAGGATTTCCAGAATCTCTCGCCTGGCTTTAGTGCATTTCCATTATCAACAGGCGGAAGAGACGCCCCGGGATCGCAGTTTGTAAGAAATAAACTGGTTTTAAACTTTAATTCTTCCTTTGACTGATTTCGGTTTTAGAGGTATTTGCCCCGGGATTTCTTCTCCCCATAGTTACAAGGCCGACCGCACTCATCACCCTGGTGAGGGGTTACTGGTTAAGCAAGTGTGCAGTCTTAACTACAGAATCGGGCCAAGAGGCGTGGTGTTTCCGTAGCGAAGCCGCTGAGCAGTCTCCTTTGGCCTTCCATCTTAGTATGACCAGGCCAGCACCCTGAGAGCCAAGGTTGGTGCTGGCCTGGATGTCCCAATGGACATGAGCAAAGTCGTGGGATATGGGCTTCAGGTGTGGTGTCTTTTATGGGATGGAAGGTGAGGAAAATAAGACTAATCGTTCCTGAAAAAATAAAAACATACTGTGCAAACACAAAAATGTGACGAGACATCCCTTCCCTGGCTTATGTGACAATTCTAACCCTGATCCATTCCTCCTAAGATAAAAATTAGTAAGGTAGTCATTGAATTATCCTGCTCCCTGACCCTCCCAAAACAGACCCCTGTTTCCTTGGGCCCTCCCTAAAGCCATCTAAATGCAGCCGAAATACTATAATGAGCCCTTTTAAACACCGGCTTTCTGAGACACCCCATAGTGTGAGGTCTCCTCACGACAGCAGCGAACAACCTTTAATTGTTGACCATAACTATGCCTTGGTAGGCTTTATTGAGCATCACTAGTATGAATAAACTTAATGAATTATACACAAGCATACACAAAATATTAAACCTTAGAGCCTACACTCTGGTGAGAAATAAGAACAATGTGAATGGTAAAATGGGGTGAGGGCTTTGTTATAAAAATCTGGTATGCTAAATGCAGTGTAGGATCATGGGTTGCATTCTACAACAGGACATTAACAGTAAAATCAGATTAAATTCTGTAGTTTATAGTACCAGTGTGAACTTCTTAGTTTTGACAAATGTGCAGTGGTTATATCAGACTTACAGGAGAAACAGTGAGGGGTATACAGGAGCTCACTGTACTATCTTAGCACCTTTCCTGTAAATTTAAAATTATTCCAAAATAAAAATCTCATTAGAAAAAAACTTGTGCACAATTTTTCTTCCCAGGAGGGATTTTTTGCTTCTGATGGAGGTCTTGGTGATGGTTATTGCATCTCGAGTAACCCATATGTGAGCAACTTAAACAGTCACAATAGACAGCTCCTTTGCTTCAATTTCATGTTCTCATTCTTGCTCTTCCCTACCCAAGATTTCAGCTCCTTCCTGGGCCACACACACACCCTCAACCGCTTTGGACAGGTAGCCATCAGCCACTGAATGTAAACACACCTGATCTAGGTCCTGCCCCATTATTTTGCTGTCACATAGCCCAGATTCCTGACTGCTTTCAAAATGGAAATAAGCTGTAAGTGGCTAATAACCACAAAGATGCAGGAGGAGAAGCTGTGTCGAGGCAGCATTGTCAAATAAAAGGAGAAAGGAGGAAACTGCCTCTTTCCATTCTGCAAACACATTAACACACCTCCTGAGCTTTCCTTGGTGCGTGTTTTCATGCAGCACCCCACCTTTATCCCAGACACAGGAGTTAAATCAGTTTATCAACACTATAATGGAAGGCACTGGGCAATGATACAATCACAAAACATGGAAAATAGGAAACCCAAGCCTAGATACCAGATAGTCATCAGGGAAGTAGATACAATAGGCAGCCTGTCTTTTTTGCAATAACAGTAGATAGAAATTTCGGTTCAGGGAATCTTCTTGTAGTAAAAAAAAAAAAGGTGGGGGCAAATATTAAATATTTGGATGTAAATAATAAGGGCAGATGAGAAGATGAAGAGGGTTTATTTGACTTAAAATTGTTTGGACTCCAGGAGCAGTTTGTCTTCTAGATTCTGGTGACTTTCATTATGTGGTGGGAGCAGAAGCTACCCCTATAATGTGAGCCACAAATGTAATTTAAAATTTTCCTAGTTGCCAACATTTACAAAAGTAAAGAAACACATAAAATAAATTTTAGTATTTTTATGAGTCAGTACAAAATATTTCATGTGTACTCAATATATAAAATTATCAATGAAATTTTTTTGATGTATCAAATCTTTGAAATTTTGTAGTTACAGCATATGTCAATACCAATGCTAAATTTTTATAGGAAACAATGTACATTTAGATTTCATAAAATTTACAGTTGAAAGTAGATCCACATATCCATATTCTAAATATACATAAAAGTTTCCCAATAACTGAATGGAGTATCCATTTTTAAAATTAAGGCAAAGATGTGGGGAAATTGGAACTCTTATATATTGCTGATAGGAATGTAAAATGGTGCAGCTGCTGTGGAAAAGAGTTTGGCAGTGCCTCAAAAAACTTAAAAGAATTACCGTATGACCCAGCAATTCCACTTCTGGATATATACCCAAAAGAACTGATATCAGTGTCAGTGATATTTGTACAACAGTGTTCATAACAGCGTTATTTACAATAGTCAGAAGGTGGCAGCAATCCAAGTGCTCAATATCAGATGAATAAACAAAATGAGGTATATGCAGACAGTGGGATATTATTGAACCCTAAAAAGGAAGGAAATTTGTAGACATACCACAACATGGATGAACCTTAAGTACATTATGCTGCGTGAAATGAGCCAGAAACAAAAAGACAAGTACTGCATGATTCCAATTACGTGAGGTATCAATAGTAGTTAGAGAGCCAGAAAGTAGAATGGTGGCATGGCCAAGGACTTGGGGGTAAGGTGAGAAGGGGCAGCTGTTGCTTTAAAAGATAGAGCTTCAGGTTTTCAAGATGGAAAGAATTATGGAGATAGGTTGCACAGCCCTGAATGTGCTTAACACTACTGAACTTTATGGTTAAGACTGTGTGTGTTCTACCATAATTAAAATGGTTCTCAGTTGCACTAGCCACATTGTAAGTGCTCAACAGCCATGTGGGGCTCAATGGCCCCCTTATCACACAGTGCAGCTTTAAACTAACAGAAGTGAAACTCTGAAATCCTACTATCTTCACCTGCCACTCTGAAAGGACTGTTCCCTGGCTCTGGCTCTGCTCTAAGCCACTGCCTCTCTCCACTCTGCCTGGAGGGTTAGAACTTGTTACCTAAGTCTTCCATGTGGTAAATACTCATTCTAATTTCTTCAGGATAAGCTTCAATTTCCTTTAGGAAGTTCACTTGTATACTGAAGCAAGTGTAGCCTTCTGATAGGTTAACCATCCACTCTAACTCTGTGGGTGAAATATTCTGAAGAGAGGCACAGGAGTCTTCCTCTTACTCCATTTGCCATCCCTGAAATTTTATTTCAAAATGGATCATTTCACACTGAAGTCACTGTAATCCAACACCTAGGATTTGAAAGCAGCTTTTAAAAAGTGGTCTCATTTGTGAATAGCACAGAGATTTGAAATTTCAGGGACAGAAGTACAAAGGAGCAATGCAAGGAATCATCAAGGTTTGCTCTTGACTTTCCCTCTAGCTGTTAGCTTTTATTTATGGTTGTTAATATAGTTTAGGGTTCCTAACAGGTGCTTAAGGATTGATTGGAGTTGTGTTGTTTTTATGGTCATCTTTTTATTTTAGTACTATGTGATTTAATTGAATATCCTATTCTCGGTCCTTTCACCTACACGTTGCTCCTTAGAATTTTTATTATTTTCTCCAAAAGCATAATGGATGTCTTATCAGATTATCATATGTTATGCTTTTTCAGAATAGAGTACAAATCCCTCGCGTTGGTGGTAAACTCTCTAAATGCAAGGACAGAACAATTTAATTTGCTTCATCTTGCATACTGTTAACCACAGAACTCTAAGTTCTCAAGAATTTGCTGATTGCTAGAAACTTTTTTTGTAGTTGTTCATGTGTGTTTTAAGTAGAATTATCCGGTTTTATTTAATAAGGGTTAAATGCCTTTGTTGCTTACCAATAATCAAGAGCAGGGATGGAGTTTAGCTGAGTTCATGTTGTGTCCAGAGTAGCTGCATGGTCTCCTGCCTGAAGAAGACTTGAGTATGTTGAATTAATAGATAAATAAATGAAAGCTAATAACTTTTTTAAGTAAACCACTTTGAAATTAATAGATAATTGCCTTTATTAATTCTTAGGAGGAACTCTAGTAACTATTATAAGCATGAACAGAGAGCAAAAGTGAGATTTTCGACATCCTCTAAGAGTCTGTAAACATAAAGGCACATTTAAGAGGCACAGTTGTTCAAGTATGTTCAACACCAGGAAGAGCCATGTTCAGAGGGGCTCAGACAGAAACAGGGCCTCTATCAGGTTTGGGCGGGATGAATAAAAGCCAGCTTTGAGACTCTATGTCACCCCAATAGGAAATGAAGCGTTTATAGCTCACATTTCCAGGAAACATCAAAATGCATTTACAGATTTCAGTAGATTATGCAGATTCGATACCTGTGGTCAAGCGTTGTGGATTGAGTCAGGTGACCCGCTCACTTAGAGGACAAAAGGAAGGCGTTTACTGTAGGTTGTCATCAGAAGTCATACTGGCCAGGACGGAAGAGAAAGAGTCACAGTTAAGATCCCTTAATTTCACTGTTGAGGAGACTCAGGCCACAGAAGGCAAGCGACTTTTCCAAAATTACCCAAACAGTAAATGGCTGCATAAAAACCCAGAGTGTTTGGATCCCATTCTAATGATCTTAAGGCAAACTGATTCCTTGTTGTATGTGTGTGCATGTTTCTCACTTTGAAGAGTGGTGTGGGACTGTTAGAGAGACCGTGCAAGCTGATGCTGTACAAAATGATCTTAACACTCAATAGAGAAAAATTATGATTGTTCTGTGACCTTTAAAATTTTTTGCCAAAGCATTAAACACGCTGTCAGTTCTAAGGGTATATATAGGTTTACATTATTTTATTGCCCTTCACTTTATTGTGCTTCACAGATACTGGGTTTTTTTTACAAATTGAAAATTTGTGGCAACCTCGGGTCTAGCAACTTATCAGTGCCATTTTTCTGAAAGCATTTGCCCACTTGGTGTCTCTGTGACACATTTTGGTAGTTCTTGCAGTATTTCAAACTTTTTCATTATTATTATATTTGTCATGGTAAGTTGATCAGTGATTACAACTTGCTGAAAGCTCAGATAATGGTTAGAATTTTTTATCAATGAAGTATTTAAAATTAAGGTATGTGCATTTTTTAAAAGAAATAATCCTATTGTACACTTAATAGACTACCATGTAGTATAAATATAACTTTTGTATGCACTGGGAAGTCAAAAATTAATTTGACTCACTTTATTGTGATACTCACTTTATTGTGGTGGTCTGGAACCAAACCCACAGTCTCTCTAACGTATGCCTGTATGAAAACAATACTAAAACTAATATTTGTTTTATATTCTTAACTCATTAGAAACATTGATGATTAAAGTGTTTTGTTTGTAAAAACCAAAAATAGTCTGAACAATGCTATGTATAGCTCATGAGAACGTGACCATCTTTTCAATGCCTTGGTAATTGTCATACTTCTTTATAAATTTGGATTAGCTTCCAATAGTTTATCCTTTGTACTTTTTATGTCATGAATATCTCCAAGAATCCTTTAATCGGAAGTTTTTTGTCAGCACCATTTCCTTGAGGACATCTTCATCCTTTTCATCACAAACACTTTCTTCATTTATGTTTAATAAGTTTTCCTTCAGTAGGTCCCTCTAGCTGCAGATGTAGAGTCTCTCAAATAGTGGCAGTATCAACATTACCCCAGCTATTTCTCCTGTAACTCCATTTACTCTTAATTCTAATTTCACTCCCATCATGATTTTTTTTTATTTGCTGCACTGTCATTTTTTGTTGGTCAATTCCCTCTTTTGATTATCCAATTCTGTAAAATGTCAATGTGTTTATTTGGGGAGACAAGAAACAACACAATCACATGCTTTTCTGTCCATGTGTCACTGAAACAGACTAGCAGTGATCACCAGAAGACTTTCAGAGAACTTACAATGGCTTACTGATCATGATGCATGTTTTTTATTAAGTAGTGATGTCTGGCCTGAAGAGCTAGCAGCAAAGTTTATATTTTATGCAGTTACAGTTCATATGCCATATTAACTGAAATTTGAACAATGTTGTTGGGGACTGGTGTTATGTAAACCTTGGAAAGTGAAGTTAGCGTATGTAGGAATCTTACAAAGCAAAGCCTGGCAATCTAGTAGAGAATTTAAAAGACCATAGACTTGAGGGTTTTATAGAATGGTTTAAATCCAGGATCTGCCACTTCCTATATGGATAATCTTTTCAACATTTTAAAAGAAAAAGGTAAGGAGATTCAGAAAAAGACTCAGCCAGCAAAATTGAGTCTACTCTGGAGCAGCAGAGGAATTGCAATTTGGAACAGGCAAACTTAGGCAAACCATAGGCAAGTGTGGAGAACAAGGAGGAGAGAGTCTCTTTATAGAGGAAAGGAGGATATTGGGAGGGGTCGTTTGGAACAAAATGTCATTAGAGGAAAATGAGGGTTTGAAGTGGTGGTGGCTTCTTATTGGCTACAGGCAACAACAGCTTGCTGGGCACCTAAAGCTTGTTAGTACCAGGCCAATAGGGAATTTTCCTTCTTCTAGCTGGGTCATGCAAGCTGCAATGAGTACTATGTGCATGAAAGCCCTTCTTCCATGACTTCCCGACTCCAATTTGAGTTAAGCATCCTTAACATATTTCTACACCTTGGACAAGTCCCTCATCTGTAAAACTGAGATAAAACTATCCATCTCTCAGAGTTACTGTGTGTCTTTGAGCAAGAGTAATGCCCTGCCCTCTTGTTAAACCTGACATGTTAACTGATAAATCACCTTTACACTCCCCTTCTTTTACACACAAGTATTCTTTAGATAGTATCTAACTTGGAACAAGTAACATTGTTCCCTAGGGCAGGACTTGTTGCTCTAAATTCCAACAATAATATTCAAATGTCAGCCCCTGCTCCATTGTGTACACTAGTGATTGTCTTGCCTGTAGACCCTTTCTCCTTGCCTCTATAAATTAGCCTACCTAAATTCAAAGCTGTGCAGAGATCCAAGTATCTTGTGGCTACCCAGGACAAGTTTCTGTAGGTTAAGATTCCACCAATAAACCTCTATGGAATTCAAGCTGGACTTGTTAGCCTCTTTCTTTGTTCTCACAGAGTCTGCACCCTTCAGGAGCTGGTTCAGTTATACCTCCCCCAAATGGAACACTGTGGGAAGTAGGGGTCACATAACGTTCTTGTTCCACACATTATTAGGAAAACATCTGCCAGTCATGTGAGTAGGAGTAGTAGCAGAAATGGAACTTAAATTTTTCATAGTAAATTCTAAAATGAATTTTAGATTTTATTGGTGTAATTAAACAGTAAAATAAAATCCTTTATGGAAGCATACCCACCTTCTTATAGTTGGAAATCTCTTAGGATTTTTCAGGTGTCTAGTTTTGAGAGTATGGAGATGTATGTTAAAGTATCTAAAAAAAGGTACAACATAATCACTTAAGAGGACTATCACCTTATTTCCAGGGAGAGAGGAGGTGGAGCTGGGATGTAAGGTGAGGAAAGAGATGGGGTTCTACACAATGTTCTGTGTGTTTCTGAGTCAAGTTTACTTAGGAGCTTCATTATTTTGCAATAATGTCTAGAATGTTAGCCAGTCTATGAACTAGAGAAAATAGTTCTAAAATTCATATGGAACCACAAAAGACCCCGAATAGCCAAAGCAATCCTGAGAAGGAAGAATAAAACTCCCTGACTTCAAGCTCTACTACAAAGCCACAGTAATCAAAACAATTTGGTACTGGTACAAGACCCATAGACCAATGGAACAGACTAGAGAGCCCAGATATAAACCCAAGCATACATGGTCAATTAATATACAATACAGGAGCCATGGATATACAATGGGGAAATGACAGCCTTTTCAATAGCTGGTGTTGGCAAAACTGGACAGCTACATGTAAGAGAATTAAACTGGATCATTGTCTAACCCCATACACAAAAGTAAATTCGAAATGGATCAAAGACCTGAATGTAAGTCATGAAACCATAAAACTTGTAGAAAAAAACATGGGCAAAAATCTCTTGGACATAAACATGAGCAACTTCTTCATGAACATTATCTCTCCGAGCAAGCGAAACAAAAGCAAAAATGAACAAGTGGGATTACATCAAACTAAAAAGCTTCTGTACAGCAAAGGACACCATCAGTAGAACAAAAAGTCATCCTACAGTATGGGAGAACATATTCATAAATGACATATCCGATAAGGGGTTGACATCCAAAAGTTTGGCAGTGCCTCAAAAAACTTAAAAGAATTACCGTATGACCCAGCAATTCCACTTCTGGATATATACCCAAAAGAACTGATATCAGTGTCAGTGATATTTGTACAACAGTGTTCATAACAGCGTTATTTACAATAGTCAGAAGGTGGCAGCAATCCAAGTGCTCAATATCAGATGAATAAACAAAATGAGGTGTATGCAGACAGTGGGATATTATTGAACCCTAAAAAGGAAGGAAATTTGTAGACATACCACAACATGGATGAACCTTAAGTACATTATGCTGCGTGAAATGAGCCAGAAACAAAAAGACAAGTACTGCATGATTCCAATTACGTGAGGTATCAATAGTAGTTAGAGAGCCAGAAAGTAGAATGGTGGCATGGCCAAGGACTTGGGGGTAAGGTGAGAAGGGGCAGCTGTTGCTTTAAAAGATAGAGCTTCAGGTTTTCAAGATGGAAAGAATTATGGAGATAGGTTGCACAGCCCTGAATGTGCTTAACACTACTGAACTTTATGGTTAAGACTGTGTGTGTTCTACCATAATTAAAATGGTTCTCAGTTGCACTAGCCACATTGTAAGTGCTCAACAGCCATGTGGGGCTCAATGGCCCCCTTATCACACAGTGCAGCTTTAAACTAACAGAAGTGAAACTCTGAAATCCTACTATCTTCACCTGCCACTCTGAAAGGACTGTTCCCTGGCTCTGGCTCTGCTCTAAGCCACTGCCTCTCTCCACTCTGCCTGGAGGGTTAGAACTTGTTACCTAAGTCTTCCATGTGGTAAATACTCATTCTAATTTCTTCAGGATAAGCTTCAATTTCCTTTAGGAAGTTCACTTGTATACTGAAGCAAGTGTAGCCTTCTGATAGGTTAACCATCCACTCTAACTCTGTGGGTGAAATATTCTGAAGAGAGGCACAGGAGTCTTCCTCTTACTCCATTTGCCATCCCTGAAATTTTATTTCAAAATGGATCATTTCACACTGAAGTCACTGTAATCCAACACCTAGGATTTGAAAGCAGCTTTTAAAAAGTGGTCTCATTTGTGAATAGCACAGAGATTTGAAATTTCAGGGACAGAAGTACAAAGGAGCAATGCAAGGAATCATCAAGGTTTGCTCTTGACTTTCCCTCTAGCTGTTAGCTTTTATTTATGGTTGTTAATATAGTTTAGGGTTCCTAACAGGTGCTTAAGGATTGATTGGAGTTGTGTTGTTTTTATGGTCATCTTTTTATTTTAGTACTATGTGATTTAATTGAATATCCTATTCTCGGTCCTTTCACCTACACGTTGCTCCTTAGAATTTTTATTATTTTCTCCAAAAGCATAATGGATGTCTTATCAGATTATCATATGTTATGCTTTTTCAGAATAGAGTACAAATCCCTCGCGTTGGTGGTAAACTCTCTAAATGCAAGGACAGAACAATTTAATTTGCTTCATCTTGCATACTGTTAACCACAGAACTCTAAGTTCTCAAGAATTTGCTGATTGCTAGAAACTTTTTTTGTAGTTGTTCATGTGTGTTTTAAGTAGAATTATCCGGTTTTATTTAATAAGGGTTAAATGCCTTTGTTGCTTACCAATAATCAAGAGCAGGGATGGAGTTTAGCTGAGTTCATGTTGTGTCCAGAGTAGCTGCATGGTCTCCTGCCTGAAGAAGACTTGAGTATGTTGAATTAATAGATAAATAAATGAAAGCTAATAACTTTTTTAAGTAAACCACTTTGAAATTAATAGATAATTGCCTTTATTAATTCTTAGGAGGAACTCTAGTAACTATTATAAGCATGAACAGAGAGCAAAAGTGAGATTTTCGACATCCTCTAAGAGTCTGTAAACATAAAGGCACATTTAAGAGGCACAGTTGTTCAAGTATGTTCAACACCAGGAAGAGCCATGTTCAGAGGGGCTCAGACAGAAACAGGGCCTCTATCAGGTTTGGGCGGGATGAATAAAAGCCAGCTTTGAGACTCTATGTCACCCCAATAGGAAATGAAGCGTTTATAGCTCACATTTCCAGGAAACATCAAAATGCATTTACAGATTTCAGTAGATTATGCAGATTCGATACCTGTGGTCAAGCGTTGTGGATTGAGTCAGGTGACCCGCTCACTTAGAGGACAAAAGGAAGGCGTTTACTGTAGGTTGTCATCAGAAGTCATACTGGCCAGGACGGAAGAGAAAGAGTCACAGTTAAGATCCCTTAATTTCACTGTTGAGGAGACTCAGGCCACAGAAGGCAAGCGACTTTTCCAAAATTACCCAAACAGTAAATGGCTGCATAAAAACCCAGAGTGTTTGGATCCCATTCTAATGATCTTAAGGCAAACTGATTCCTTGTTGTATGTGTGTGCATGTTTCTCACTTTGAAGAGTGGTGTGGGACTGTTAGAGAGACCGTGCAAGCTGATGCTGTACAAAATGATCTTAACACTCAATAGAGAAAAATTATGATTGTTCTGTGACCTTTAAAATTTTTTGCCAAAGCATTAAACACGCTGTCAGTTCTAAGGGTATATATAGGTTTACATTATTTTATTGCCCTTCACTTTATTGTGCTTCACAGATACTGGGTTTTTTTTACAAATTGAAAATTTGTGGCAACCTCGGGTCTAGCAACTTATCAGTGCCATTTTTCTGAAAGCATTTGCCCACTTGGTGTCTCTGTGACACATTTTGGTAGTTCTTGCAGTATTTCAAACTTTTTCATTATTATTATATTTGTCATGGTAAGTTGATCAGTGATTACAACTTGCTGAAAGCTCAGATAATGGTTAGAATTTTTTATCAATGAAGTATTTAAAATTAAGGTATGTGCATTTTTTAAAAGAAATAATGCTATTGTACACTTAATAGACTACCATGTAGTATAAATATAACTTTTGTATGCACTGGGAAGTCAAAAATTAATTTGACTCACTTTATTGTGATACTCACTTTATTGTGGTGGTCTGGAACCAAACCCACAGTCTCTCTAACGTATGCCTGTATGAAAACAATACTAAAACTAATATTTGTTTTATATTCTTAACTCATTAGAAACATTGATGATTAAAGTGTTTTGTTTGTAAAAACCAAAAATAGTCTGAACAATGCTATGTATAGCTCATGAGAACGTGACCATCTTTTCAATGCCTTGGTAATTGTCATACTTCTTTATAAATTTGGATTAGCTTCCAATAGTTTATCCTTTGTACTTTTTATGTCATGAATATCTCCAAGAATCCTTTAATCGGAAGTTTTTTGTCAGCACCATTTCCTTGAGGACATCTTCATCCTTTTCATCACAAACACTTTCTTCATTTATGTTTAATAAGTTTTCCTTCAGTAGGTCCCTCTAGCTGCAGATGTAGAGTCTCTCAAATAGTGGCAGTATCAACATTACCCCAGCTATTTCTCCTGTAACTCCATTTACTCTTAATTCTAATTTCACTCCCATCATGATTTTTTTTTATTTGCTGCACTGTCATTTTTGTTGGTCAATTCCCTCTTTTGATTATCCAATTCTGTAAAATGTCAATGTGTTTATTTGGGGAGACAAGAAACAACACAATCACATGCTTTTCTGTCCATGTGTCACTGAAACAGACTAGCAGTGATCACCAGAAGACTTTCAGAGAACTTACAATGGCTTACTGATCATGATGCATGTTTTTTATTAAGTAGTGATGTCTGGCCTGAAGAGCTAGCAGCAAAGTTTATATTTTATGCAGTTACAGTTCATATGCCATATTAACTGAAATTTGAACAATGTTGTTGGGGACTGGTGTTATGTAAACCTTGGAAAGTGAAGTTAGCGTATGTAGGAATCTTACAAAGCAAAGCCTGGCAATCTAGTAGAGAATTTAAAAGACCATAGACTTGAGGGTTTTATAGAATGGTTTAAATCCAGGATCTGCCACTTCCTATATGGATAATCTTTTCAACATTTTAAAAGAAAAAGGTAAGGAGATTCAGAAAAAGACTCAGCCAGCAAAATTGAGTCTACTCTGGAGCAGCAGAGGAATTGCAATTTGGAACAGGCAAACTTAGGCAAACCATAGGCAAGTGTGGAGAACAAGGAGGAGAGAGTCTCTTTATAGAGGAAAGGAGGATATTGGGAGGGGTCGTTTGGAACAAAATGTCATTAGAGGAAAATGAGGGTTTGAAGTGGTGGTGGCTTCTTATTGGCTACAGGCAACAACAGCTTGCTGGGCACCTAAAGCTTGTTAGTACCAGGCCAATAGGGAATTTTCCTTCTTCTAGCTGGGTCATGCAAGCTGCAATGAGTACTATGTGCATGAAAGCCCTTCTTCCATGACTTCCCGACTCCAATTTGAGTTAAGCATCCTTAACATATTTCTACACCTTGGACAAGTCCCTCATCTGTAAAACTGAGATAAAACTATCCATCTCTCAGAGTTACTGTGTGTCTTTGAGCAAGAGTAATGCCCTGCCCTCTTGTTAAACCTGACATGTTAACTGATAAATCACCTTTACACTCCCCTTCTTTTACACACAAGTATTCTTTAGATAGTATCTAACTTGGAACAAGTAACATTGTTCCCTAGGGCAGGACTTGTTGCTCTAAATTCCAACAATAATATTCAAATGTCAGCCCCTGCTCCATTGTGTACACTAGTGATTGTCTTGCCTGTAGACCCTTTCTCCTTGCCTCTATAAATTAGCCTACCTAAATTCAAAGCTGTGCAGAGATCCAAGTATCTTGTGGCTACCCAGGACAAGTTTCTGTAGGTTAAGATTCCACCAATAAACCTCTATGGAATTCAAGCTGGACTTGTTAGCCTCTTTCTTTGTTCTCACAGAGTCTGCACCCTTCAGGAGCTGGTTCAGTTATACCTCCCCCAAATGGAACACTGTGGGAAGTAGGGGTCACATAACGTTCTTGTTCCACACATTATTAGGAAAACATCTGCCAGTCATGTGAGTAGGAGTAGTAGCAGAAATGGAACTTAAATTTTTCATAGTAAATTCTAAAATGAATTTTAGATTTTATTGGTGTAATTAAACAGTAAAATAAAATCCTTTATGGAAGCATACCCACCTTCTTATAGTTGGAAATCTCTTAGGATTTTTCAGGTGTCTAGTTTTGAGAGTATGGAGATGTATGTTAAAGTATCTAAAAAAAGGTACAACATAATCACTTAAGAGGACTATCACCTTATTTCCAGGGAGAGAGGAGGTGGAGCTGGGATGTAAGGTGAGGAAAGAGATGGGGTTCTACACAATGTTCTGTGTGTTTCTGAGTCAAGTTTACTTAGGAGCTTCATTATTTTGCAATAATGTCTAGAATGTTAGCCAGTCTATGAACTAGAGAAAATAGTTCTAAAATTCATATGGAACCACAAAAGACCCCGAATAGCCAAAGCAATCCTGAGAAGGAAGAATAAAACTCCCTGACTTCAAGCTCTACTACAAAGCCACAGTAATCAAAACAATTTGGTACTGGTACAAGACCCATAGACCAATGGAACAGACTAGAGAGCCCAGATATAAACCCAAGCATACATGGTCAATTAATATACAATACAGGAGCCATGGATATACAATGGGGAAATGACAGCCTTTTCAATAGCTGGTGTTGGCAAAACTGGACAGCTACATGTAAGAGAATTAAACTGGATCATTGTCTAACCCCATACACAAAAGTAAATTCGAAATGGATCAAAGACCTGAATGTAAGTCATGAAACCATAAAACTTGTAGAAAAAAACATGGGCAAAAATCTCTTGGACATAAACATGAGCAACTTCTTCATGAACATTATCTCTCCGAGCAAGCGAAACAAAAGCAAAAATGAACAAGTGGGATTACATCAAACTAAAAAGCTTCTGTACAGCAAAGGACACCATCAGTAGAACAAAAAGTCATCCTACAGTATGGGAGAACATATTCATAAATGACATATCCGATAAGGGGTTGACATCCAAATTATATAGAGTTCACCCACCTCAACAAACAAAAAGCAAATAATCCAATTAAAAAATGGGCAGAGGAGCTGAACAGACACTTCTTCAAAGAAGAAATTCAGATGGCCAACAGGCACATGAAAAGATGCTCCAGATCACTAATCATCAGAGAAATGCAAATTAAAACCACAATGCTATCACCTCACACCAGTTAGGATGGTCAACATCCAAAAGACAAACAACAACAAATGTTGTCGAGGTTGTGGAAAAAGGGGAACCCTCCTACACTGCTGATGGGAATGTAAATTAGTTCAACCATTGTGGAGATTCCTCAAAAAACTCAAAAATAGAAATACCATTTGGGCCAGGAATTCCACTCCTAGGAATTTACCCTAAGAATGCAGGAGCCAAGTTTGAAAAAGACAAATGCACCCCTATGTTTATCACAGCACTATTTATATAGCCAAGAAATGGAAGCAACCTAAGTGTCCATCAGTAGATGAATGGATAAAGAAGATGTGGTACATATACACAATGGAATATTATTCAGCCACTGTTTAGTTCTGTCACTTTTTTTTATTGCCACTAAGAGTGTATATATGGAAGTATAGATATATTGGTGAGTCATAGGCATTAAATGTAATGAAGTAGATGGCTAATAAGAAAACTAATAAAGACTATCTGTACTTTTTTACCCCAGTACCTATGAAATGGTCATTCAGGAGAGTGTAAGAACTTTTTCTCTAACAAGGAGATTGCTCCTGAGGTTCTGGTGGTAGCCAGTGAAATTAACTTTGATAATGGGCAGTTAAGACCTGTAACAACAAAGATAAAAGACTTGTTTCAGGAGGGCTCCCAGGAGACCATGACCTGCAAGTGACTTTGCTGCAATGAGGCCCCTAAATTTAAAGTGTGAAATTAATAAAAGAAACATCACCTAAGACTGGAGAGGAAAGGCTCATAAAGGGGAGTTCCCATGCCCTACCACTCATTTTCAATTTCCCCAAACAAGAAGAGCTGTGCCTTGAATCTCCAAGGACAGTTGTCCATACTTTACAACATGGCGGAAGGAAGGAAGGTTTTCTTCTTGCCCAGCAACAAGTATGGCCAATGGAATATGCTGCAGCTCAATGAGAAGCTGCGGTCACCCTGTGCTCTTAACTTTACTAGGATGAGCTTTCATTTTTCCTCTGCTAATGACTTCTTTACCCAAACCCTCCTTTTTATAAAAGCCTTCTGTTTTTGTATAACTCCTCAGAATATCTTTGTTTACTAGATGAAATGCTGCCTGATTTATGAATCATTTGATAAAGCAAATTAGAACTTCAGATTTACTTAGTTTAATTTTGTATTGTTTTTTTAAAGGAGAAACCATGAAAGAACAAAGGACTGGAATAATTGCAGTGGAGGTTGTCCCAATATTCAAATGGGAAGAAGCCTTGGAGAAGCCATTGTTAACACTTTAGGTACAGTCTTGTGGATGTACTCTTTAATGTATGTAGATATATACTGCACATTTAATCACAATGCCAGAATATGTCATTTTAAGAAAATGTACACTGCATCAGTTTTTGAAAAAAATGTGTCTGCTGCCACATGTTAGGAAGGCAGCAGAGTTAACTGCTTGTCAGATCAGGTGATTTATCTCTCCCACATATGGTAAGCAGTTACCACATATGGTAACTCAGCCATGTTGCCAAGTACCTATTCATTCTGTTAAGTACAACTAAAATTTGGAGTGGCTTTCTCCATCTGTCAAGGCTCAAAGAAAGGCACAGCCCCACCAGATGTGTATTTATAATTTGTTACAGGGATTTGATAGTTATGCCACTGTGTGAGCTGGGTAAGCAGTCTCTTGGGAAGGGAAGATGGACATAAAGTGAGAAACAGCAAGAACAAGATGGAACTCACAAGTCAGAACTGCAACTGAAATTCACCCTAGTTCTTGTTCTCCTTGCTCTCCTTGCCTCTGACCTTGGTAGTATGGGCCCCTCCAGTAGGAGACCCTTCCTTGCTGTGCTAAATGCACACCTGGCCCAGGGAGTGGGGAAGTTAAAGGAGGATCCATGGGGAGCTGGAGCAGTTGCAAGGCTGGTCATGCTGCCCACAAAGGAGGATAAGGGACAGCAGGTTCCAAATCTCAGGTTCCCCAAATCTCACAGCTTTTTTGTAGTCCCTGCCCCACTCCGTTTCCCCAATCTCCCAACTAGAACTACATAGCAAAGAGAATTCTGGGCAATGTCCTTCAGCCTAACCAGGCTGCCACAGCATGAAGTCATGACCCTGGCTTCTCTATAGCACCCCATGTGGCCTGCCTCTTGGGGATGCCATGACAAGAGCAAGAGTTTAGGAAGTCTTAGTGGTTCCTGATTTGAGGCTGTGATGCAGTCAAGTTTTAGTTCCTTCTTCCGTGGTTCCATATAAGGAGTCTGTCTCATCCTTTCTTTTAAGTTCTCTGCCTCATTTTCACCCACACACCAAACCACTCTTCAAGGAGCCTTCTTTCTTTCTCTGTTGTAGGTCAGAAACTTCCAAAGTCAACATTAAGGGCTCCTATTACGAAGATAAAAGATCTCAAATTTGTTCCATTTTTCCAGGATAAAATGTGGGGTGTCTTTTTTTCATTAAAAAAATGGTCAGAATGTAAATTAGCAGGACATATTGTTACTTAATAAATGCCAAGTGGTAAAAAAAGCAAATTTTGACAAAAGCCTATGTAATGAAAATGCTTAGCACATAGTCACCTCTCAAAGGGAAGCCTGGAATCCACATGACCTGGGCCCACACTTCTTTCCCAAGTGGAGTGAGGCACAAGAATCATTGGCCAACCCTGGCCTCCTTGCTCATTTGTCCATGGGAAGCACAAATCTGCCATGAAGAACCAGAGGCAGGAGAATCTGCCCCTCTGCAGGAGCTAGTGCTTAGGGGGGAATGTGGGGCTGATGCAGGGACCTCACTGCCAGGCTTCCTTAGATTTATTCAAACATGATAGTTTTGAAATAGGAGCTATAGTCAAAGCAATTGTTTTAGCCATATTATCTTGGGTGAGATATGGTGAGGTCAGATGCAGATCAAGAGACAAAAAATGGGGGTACTTGATGATGGGGGGAGTCTAGTAAAGATGTTGCTCATGTAATTGTAGATTAATGATACAAAAAAAAAGGATATTCAAAAACAAAACAAAAATAAAGAGACAAAAAATGGAAAGTTTTAGTTTTTTTGTACTCACAACTCTTCCAGGAGTGGAGGGGGGTGTGCACAGCATGTCACCCAGGGCTACTCAGGGTAAGTACCAGGTCGGTCACAAGGCAGAGGAAGGGAGAACTGTGGGCACACACCTTTATTGTGTTTATTCCTAGAAGGAAAGGAATAGACAGGACAAGCAGGTTTAGGATTGGCTGATCCGATTAATTTCAGTGGGATCTGGGGTACTGGGGCTGTCTCTAGTTGTCTGATACTTGGCCTTGGAGTAATTAGGGTGGATATACGGTGGCCCAGAGTGTAAGAGCCTGATAAGGGAGGTGTTTGGTGGTGTGGTCTAAATGGACTGTTCAAGAACTCACCAGACTCTAGCCAGGGCCTCAAAATTAGAGTAAGACAGCACACACCTGCTCACATAAAGTATCACAAGAAGTAATATTCTTTTTAAAAATTATATAAAACAGGCCACACATTTTGCTACTTCTGATTTCAAAATTTCAATACTTCCCACTGAGTTAATATTTTCAAATTTTTTTCTCAAATTTTGAAATATTTCATCATTCAAAAATTGTATAGTACTTGATTTTTAAAGAGCTGAAAAGCACCTCAGAGCACTTTGTGTAATTTTTTTGTCCAAAAACAATTAATCAGTGTGTCAAAATGTGAATATCTTACCTTTGCACAATACCTGTTAATTTTCTGAATGTTTACATATTCCATAATTTTTTTAAATGGAAGTTACTGTGAGAGAGAAGCAAAGAGAAATTGCAACCTGCCCTGCACCCGGCACATCTTTTTTTTCCTCTCCTGTTTTGCAATGTAATTGACATATAACAGCAAATCTTGATACAGACGAAGTTATCTGACTCTCTTTATGCCCCATTAGAAGTAAAGGCATTTATCTATCTGTACATACTTTCTGGTTGGAAAACCAACAAGTGTTATCATTATGATCACTGCTGTTGACAGATACTATGATTTTGAGAAAGAGCCTCTCCCAGCCTTGGTGATTCTGCCTACCCATTGGCACTCTCCTGGGGGTCAAAGCTTAATGGATAAAGTTCTTTCCAGGGATATTAACTGTAAAATTTCAATAGACTCTAGACAATACAAACTTCTATACCATTTGTCAGGAACAAGTGATTTCCAGAGTTTATTTTTTAAACTTTATTTACTGAAAGGTATTATAATTGTGATAATCTATTCATATCAACAACAGGAAGTAAATAGGCATGTCAGTTTGTAGGAAGATATATCGAGGTGATTTTCTTTTGTGGTGAATTTAATTTTTTTTTAAACCATAGACCTTAAAAGTGCATCTCTGAGCCAGTACACTCAAGAATCAAAAAACATCTCTTTTTAGATTTCAGAGCTTAGATGAGAATGCTTTTGTGGGCACAGAGGTGAAAAGAAAAGAGTAGAGGCCTATAAGGCCCCACAGCTGAGATGGTCCAAGGAGACCATGTGTGGACAAGCATTCTCCAGCTGGTGAGATGATCAAGACATCCGTGGAAAATGCCAGGACCTGTGGCACCAGTCTGAGGATCCCACCACGACTGTGGAAGAGGGCCTACAGTGTGACTGTGCTAACCTGTACTTCTTAAAGAGATTGCATAGTTGATACCTAGGATGACTCCTAGGAACAAGGGGAGGTTCATAATCAGGCTGAGGTCCTAGTCTTTCCTTCAGAGAAGACCTCAAAGATTATTGCATAATTAATGAATGGAGGACTGTCAGATAGATTAGAGGATCGAAGAGCCCACTTGACCAGAGGCCTTCTTAGTGGATTGCATGAACATAATCTTGGACCTGGTTTCACAGTTCCTAATTTCTGAAGCATTACTATTTTTAGGCATGATTTTAATATTTGCCTCAGATTGGCTACCTGCATTTTCTCTCCAGAAACATATTCTCCTATAGCATGAACCCAATGTAGGGCTTAATAATTTTTGTTAAGGACCCATTTTTCTGTAATTTTTGCTTCAGATTAACTTTCTCCTTGTATACCTTCACCTCCTGTTTTTACTCTTCCCATTTTTTCTTTCCTGGAATCAGCTTTTTTAGACAAAGTGCTCCTTCTCCTATCTTTGTCCACTCATAATCTGCCACTGTTCCAAGGTCTCTCTCAACTACTGATTTAAAAAATAACCTGCTTAACAGTGATCAGTGCCTTGATATCTTCCTCTTTATGAGGAATCTCCAGAACGAAAGTGGTGATAATTATTAACCCCAGAATACAAGAGTCTGTTCCACTGGCTGAGGGGGCAGTCCTTTCCACACAGCCTTTGGCTCAAACACTATCCGACTGAAAACCCTGCCTTCCCCTTAGGTCTTCCGGGTCACCTTCAGAGAGAGGAGTCTCAGCGCCAGTGAAGTCACGCGAGCAACCTCTACCTACCAGCTACCCTCTCCCTAAACCCTGGGCTTGGCACCGCCCTCATCCGTCACTGGTGTACTGGGGCCTCTTCTAAGACATGAAATGTTGAAATGACCGTCTTTCGTCCCCGAGCTTGTCTTCAATCCCGGCGTCTTTCGGGCTGGTAGTTCGGGGGGCCATCTCGGGCAGCAACTTCGGGATGTGAGCAGACTGCCGCCTCTCCCGAAAAGACCCACCTGGAGCCGACCACCCACCCCAAAAGCCTCGCCCCGTACCCAGCAGACCAATCCTCGGCTCCGCTTCCGGCCTTCACAATGGCGCCCCTTGGCCCCGCCCCGCCGCCGCGTTTGCGTGCTTCCGGCTGTCTGTGGAAGTGGAGAAGGTGGGGTTCAGCAGGGAACCTAGCCCGAGGTCACGCCTGCAGCGGGCAGCCGAGCCGGGGCGCGGACTCCGGGGCTGCTCCTCGCGGGTGCTGGGGCTCAGGGTTGCGCAAGCCGCGAGCAACAGGGCTCCCGGGAGCGCCGCCTGTGCTCGACGGCCGGGAGTTGCGGACTCGGGCGGCCGCGCGCCTGAGCCGGCCTAACTGAAGCCCCGCCTGGGGCGCGCCGCCAGGGTTTCCATGGTGATGGTAAACAAGCCTCAACTGTCTCCGCTATAACTGCCAAGTCCCCCAAGTTCCACCCTCCTCTTGGTGCTCGGAGGGACCAGCGAGGTGCCGGATGTGAAGAGCGGGAGTGTGGAGACGCAGAGCCCGGGGTGAGAAGCGGGATGGGCTGCGGGTCCGCGTCGCACGGGACAGACCCGAGTCTGGGACCCCTTGTAGGTGGAGACTGAGGGGTTGATGTTTGGATTTGGGGAGATGGGGAATGAGAAGGGTCACCCACTAGGGACTGAGCAGGCCTGAGCTCCCAACAGGTGGGGAATGAAGGGCTGCGGTTTGAGTCGGGGTAGGTGGGGAGTGAGGTCGGGGGCCGCATACCCGGAACCGAGCGGGAACTGGGCACACTGGCGATTGGGACCGATAGGCTGAAATTTGGGTCGGGGGCAGCCAGGTCTGAAGTAAAGGGCCGCACATCCGGGATCCACCGGGTTTGGCTGGGGACTAGGTCCACTGGGGAAGAGGGCCGCGGGGCTGAGATTTGGGTTTGGTGGTGCAGGCCTGAGGTCAACCTCCGCTCACCCGAGGACTGGCCCACGTCTGTGTTTTGGGGTGAGGGGAGGCAGGCCTCAGGTCAGGGACTGAACCACAGGGCTGAGATTTGGAGGAGGCAGTGTTTGCGGTGAGGAAGGGACGGAGGGCCTCTTGCGGGCCTCAGGGGAGCCGGGAGTCCGGTGAGAACCCCGGGCGCCCTTGGGAGGTGGGTTCGTTTAAAGAAGATAGCTAGGCTTTCACGTGGCCGGGTTGCGCACGGCGGGCGAGAGCTGGCTCCTCCCTCCCACGTTCCCGCTCGCCCCGCCTCGCTTCCGATCATTGCGGCCTTTTCTTCTAGGCTGTGTGGCGTGTGTACTCCGAGTGCCTACCTGCGTTTGTCTCCTATCCAGAGGTAACGTGTCTGCAGTTTGGGTAAACTCTCGGGGTCTCGTCGTCTGCCTAGCGACCACACTTCTGCCAAGCGAGCCGTAGGTTGTTCGTTTCCTTGTGCCATTGCTCTTTGTATCTGTTATTTTCCTGATTCTCGCTGCTCCTGGGAAACTTGGGGACGCTGCGGTCCTCCGCGCTGCACCGGTACTCCCTTAGGGTTCAAGATGGATGCGGCCCGACCGACCCTGGCCTTCTGTAGAACGGTTGGGAGTCCCCCGCTAACCTGTATCTTAAAAGGGCTCTCAGGGGAGCCCAACAGGAACCCGCGTGGCAAGCTCCAGGCCCAGAAAGCCTGGTCCCCGGGCGTCTGTAGGTCCCTGCCCGCTTTTGGCGAGGCACCTTCATGGCAGTTTTATGCGCTCGGAGGCCTAGACACTAAGCGAGCGTGCCCCTTCTTTAGTTTTCATGACCTTTTGCTGGGCGCCGGGAGCGCCTGGCTGCCACCGCAGGCCTCGTGCTGGCGGGAGAGCAGCCCGCGCGCCTCGCGGACCTGGCCGGCGTTGGGGGAGTTGGGGATGGGGCGTGGGGAGGGGAAGGGCCGGGGGAGACCTAGGGGGCGGAGGGGGCGCTCGAGAGAGGGTAGGGGTTGCCGTTGGGACCTGGCTTGGTAGGTTGATGTCTGAAGGGTTCAGATCTCGCTCAAAACGTCGAAACGATCGATCTTCATATGTAGTTTTCACTACTACTTGAGCAGAGTTGTAAAGTTAACTTCCTGAGTTCCTAGTAAGAATGAAAATACCTCGTTAGACAAAAAATACACTAAGATTTATCAGTGCTAATTTCTAGACAAGATTTCATTTTGAAGTAAGCGAGCAAACTTCGACTTTTTTAAAGAGTACTGAGAGAGGTGACTTTATTAATAATCTATTAAGTCCATCCTTTTCCTTGAGGATCTCAGGTTCCTGTGTGCATTTCTGTAAGTTGATTAGGTTTATTTCCATGTTACGGTCTCCCTTTTTAGTTTTTTGTTCGTTTCAACATTTTTGTCGTATTTTTTTATCTTTTTTTTTTTAACTGACAAGCGACTAGTTTTCACTTGAGTATTGTTACAAAGCTCCCTTTACCATAAAATACTCAAGTAATTTGTATTTTTAGAATGAAGACTGATTAAATAGGAGGAGTTATTCCTCGGATATGGCTGAAGGAGCATATAGGAGCATTCCATACCAATCAGGATAGGTGCCCGGAGGGGGTTCCATTCCGAGGAAGTGACTTCTGCCAACCCCTCCCCAGTCTGAGCTCAGACTCTGGACCCACATTAATTGACTCTTACTGGTTTCTGGCACAGAGCTAGGTGTTTTGCCTACTTTTTTAATCACGTGTTCTGACCAGTCTCTAAGGGGGTATTGCAGCTATCCCCACTGTACAGATGAGAAAATGGAGGCCTGTAGAAAAGAAGTCAAATGCCTCAGGGACACAGCTGGGACTAGGACTCAGGTCTGTTTGAAAGGGACAGTGCTCCTCTGCCACCGCCCCTGCTCCACTTTATCAGAATCAGGGTTCTTGTGGAAGGCAAAAGGCTGGGCAGAGGGAGAACCAGGCTCAGCTAATTCCAGCCTGGCTTATTTTACAGCAAATCCCAGGTGTAAGATTTTACCCATAAATATTTCAGCTTGTATTTCAAAGCACTTTTAAAGTATAACCACAGTATCATTATGTCTAAAGATATAATTCCTCAGTATCATCAAATACCCATTGTTCAAATGTTCTTGGTTGTATGATGTTTTTGTACAGCTGACTGGTTTGAATTGGGATCCAAACAAGGTCAGTCCTTATGTTTGGTAGATCTTTATCTCAAGTGATTTTGATTCAGAGCAGTGCAGTGCAGTCCAATAGAAGTATAATGCAAGCCGTATATGTAAATTTACCTTTATAATGGTAAAAAGAAACAGGTGTAGTTCACTTTAATAACAACTTAGTCTAAACAAATATATTTCCAAAATATCATTTCATCATGTAATAAACTTTTAAATTTTATTTTTCATATTTTCATCCTAAGCTTACAAAATCTCATGTGTACTTTATATTTACAGCACATCTCAGTTTGTACCAGCCACATTTTAAGTGTGGCAAGTGGCTATCTTACTAGTCATTTGTTGACCTAGAGATTCCCCATTCTTTTCTTCCATTATCAAATGTACATCGCAGTGGTTCAGCAGTCCCCCTCCCTGTCATCTCCCACTCCCGTCTCCTTTGGTAACCACTAGTCACTTCTCAGTGTCTGAATCTAATGCTGTTCTGTTCCCTCTGTTTTGCTTTGTTTTTATATTCCACAAATAAGTGAAATCATATGGTATTTGTCTTTATCCGCATGGAGACTCCCCATCCTGAAAAGATTATTCTTTGTTGAACAAATCAGGTTGTATGTCTTGTAGAGTTCCTTGCCCACACTTGGGGTTTTTTTACGGATGCATCCCGGTGGTGGTGTTTGAATGTCAGTCCTCTGCATTTCCTGTGAAATGGTAGTTACTTCTAAAGGCTGTTTTGATCTGTTAAGGTTGGTTGGTTTGCGTTTTGGTTTTTCTTTGCGGGGGTTGGAGATGCTGTGTACTCCTGCCACAGGCACACTGGTTGGTGTTCCCCTTTTATGACTTCAGTAGCCATTGATGGATCTTAACCTAGATCCATTGTTTAACTAATAGTTTCTCAATTAGTGGGATTTTAAGTATTCCTCATTTATTAGTAGTAATACTTTCATAGAGAGGAAATTTTCTTCCTTAATTATGGATTAATCTAAGATGTACTTTATAAACGGGAGCATAAACTTTTGATTTCTTAGGTTTATCAATATCCAGGATAATGAATTGAATCCCTTGCATGTGCCAAAGGCAGTAATTTTTCTGGTATCATTAAGAAGTCATGGATTTAAACCTACAGGATGTGTTTTAATACACTGTAGCATTCTTTTTGATGCTCAAATTATCCAATTTTGGCTACTGGGAGTCCTTCAAATTGGTTCCCAACTTTATTGACACAACCTCAGTGGCCTTTGATGGCTTCCTTGGTTTAAAGTATACTTCATGAAGTGAGTCAACCAAAGTTACTCAGCTGGACCTCTAGTGATGGGCAGTTGGATTGTTTCTAGTCTTTTCCTATTAGAAATGGTGCAGCATTGAACAGCCTTAGCAGGTGTCTTTTCCCTTTTTTGGCCTTAAAGGTTGAACCATATAATATTTCCAGAGTATCTGAATGCCTACCTAGCTACAGATTTACCAAGGGAATGTGTTGTCAAACTTACATATTTTGCCAATACGATAGGTATTTCAAAATCTTATGTGGGTGAGGTTGATCATCTTCCTGTTCCAGAGCATTTCTCTCTCTTTTTTTATTTGGCCAACCTGTCCATATCTCTAGCCCATTTTCCTTTTTGGGTTGTTGTACATTTTGTCTTTTAGAAGCTCTTTATGTATTAAGGATATTAACACTTCTGGGAAGTAAATTGTAAATATCTTTAATATTTTATCATTGGCATTTTTGCTTAGCTTACAGCATTTTTAACCATGCATATGAGGTTTGAAAGTCTTTGTATTTTGTATTTTTCTGATCAAATTTTTCAGAATTTTCTCATATTCTGTTTTTTGAGTTGCGGTCAGGAAAATATTCCCTTCTCCCAGTTCAGAGAGGAATTCATCTATTTTTCTTTTATTTAGAATATTTCTTGGTATTTCTTAGAAGACATGAAAAATTCCTTTGACACATTGTGTCTTCATATGTCAGTGTGAAAAATTTCAGTGATTGACTTTGAGATGATGAACTACAACGTACAGCTAGATTTGGTTGGCTAATATTGGGATTTTTTTTCATCTGAGTTCATGAGTGAAATTAGCCTGTGAAATTTGATAAGCCAGTTCTAAAACTGTTGGAAAACCAACTCCAGATTGATTGTAGATCAAAATATGAAAATGCAGGTGAAAGCAACAGACCTTTT